CAATTATTTTGGACGTTCCCGAGCGCCGTAAAAGAGACAGGCTCTATGCGAGATGTGTCCCAAAATATTTATTGGGTACTCGGCGGCATATTTGGGAGTACCCCTGTCCGTGACGTGTGTGGAGGTGAGTAGGGGGGACTCCGGACATGTGCCGGAGTACCTACTGGTCGGCCTCACTTTGCCGTCGCACACCTCCCGAAGGAGCCGTCGGGAAAGCCGGAGTGCCCGTCGCCGCCGCTCCCCGTTTACCGGCCCACCGAGCAGTTGGACTGCGGTAATGTCGTGTAAAGTGTCTCTTCGTCTTGCCCCTTCTCGTCATAAGGTCCGACTCAACGGGGCGCCGTCGCGGGCGTCGCGGTCCCGAGCCACGTCCTTCGGACGACCAAAATTGATAGCCCATTAATTGACCTCTCGAGGCCGTGGTACGTGCTGGTAAATGCCGCTGTAGTTGTCTCTTCGGAAGAGGGGGGTCGTCAAGGTAACCCTATGTTCTTTATGGGACCAAGTAAAAAGGTGCCTGTCACCAGACGCGCACAAATGGGGCGATAAAAGATTTAGAGCCTTTTTTCTTGCCCCCTCAGCGGGGCAACGACATGTTAGTTCCCACAACTAAGCGTGTTCTGTGTCCGGTGCCGATACCTTCGTCGGATGGAGGTTTAGACGGGTCCCTCCTCATGTTAAGACGCGTCGAAAGACTTGCGTCGGTCCGCCCGAACGACAAGACCGCGCGAAGTGTGTAACAACGAAAGAGTAGTCTCCGTTACTATATAAAAAGGGGCTCGCCTAACTTTGGTTCCCCGAGCGTCTCGCGTGTCGTCGGCACAATCGCTCCCTTCATACCTCTGAGTCCCGGACACAGGTGTGCGTGACCCGCGTAGGTCAACCCTAAACGGAAACCAACAATGCGCGTGATTCGTTTCGGGGTCAACCTTGGAAAATCCCTGGTCCAAAAGTGGGGAAATTGACAAAAGTCGGTTTCATTCATAATTGGAAACCGAGATAGTCGGCTTTTTCCCACCTCCACTAACAGACGAGAAGACACCGAGCTAGTACGGAAAGGCCTAGGTTCCCTTCTACCGTCAAACCGCAAAAACGGTTTCCGTAAGTGTTCGAGAAATCTAGCTCTCACTATGGAACTACCGAAAGAAAAGGGGGAGGAGTGGTCCAGCCTCCTCTTCGGTGCAGAGTAAAGGAGACCAAGGACCACCGGCGACAAGAACGATAAACACCGCGCGTGCCACGGACACGCGGAAGAGTCGCGGACACACGTAATATCTCTCGCGAGCTAGCCCGTTGGAGACAGACCGTGTTGCCCGTAAGTGTGACCGACACACTCGACACGAGTGTCCGTACAGAAGGAGGCCCCCCCCTCGGGGGCTCTTGTAGTAACGCGTGCAGGTGGGTCTCCTAAAAGGAACAGGTGCCGAACGTGCTCCTTTACAGTCAACCCCTTCTATAAACGTGACACGTGAACCAGTCTAGACTTGGCCTCACCCACAACAAATGACCTGAAGGACACCCAACGATCGAGATACCAACCGGTATTGTTTTGTGGTACCAAGCTTGTATTCCTACGAGCTATTCACATGCAACCATGGTCTTCGTGGGATCCGTCTTTCCCAAGGTACTGAGCTAAACAATTAGCATAGTAGCCTGAATCGGCATACCAAAAACCTGTGAGCCCCATTGCTCTCCCGCCTCAAACAGTTGACTAGTGGTAGACCACCACCTCAACCAGCTCACCGCCCCTTCGGAGACCTATCTGGGACCATCCGGGTTTGCACATCAAGCCCAACTTGACCCTTTGCAAGACCTCCTCCGGGTTCAAGTCCTCGGAAGGTTGAGGTGTGGAGGCCTGCCTCGAAAAGCCCGTAAGGACACCCTCAACCGCCTGTAACTTGGTCCTACCAGCCACACAGTTTTCGAGATACGGCTTCGCGCCTCGCCCCTCGACACAGGAAGATTCCCAGAATCCACGGAGTTCCCCCGCCATTGGGAGCTGGAGGACCACCCTGTGGCCACCAGTCCCTCGCATGGCTGACTTCTTCCCTCCGGAGTCCCTAACCAATAGGCCCCCTGAGGAAACTCCGTCAACGTTTCCAAATGGCTGTCGGGCTTCCGTTTTCGTCCGAGGTCGGCACGGCTCAGTTTTCGTCGCCGACACCTCTTCAAGCCTTCTTCTGTACCCCTTTTTCGAAGCCCCGCCGTGGTTTTCAACAAAGACCTTTGACAGGCTAACCGATAGGTTAAAACCAGCAGGCTTCTGCAGGGAGCCCTGCTGTCTACTTAATCAACAGATTAGTGGCAGCCGGCTTAATTACCGGCTCCGCTTCCTCGGAGGCTCTCGCGGAGCCGACCAGGAGCGGGGGAGCCTCACTCCCATTTGACTCGCCGCCGGGAGACCCTGTCTCTGGGGTGGCGGGGGAGCGGAGACGTGGGACGGAGCCCCTGCAGCCTCCGGGGCGGTTGCTGTGGGCGTCTCTCCGCTTGCGGCCTCCTGTGGCCGGCGTGGACGCCGCGGCTGCTGCGGGCGTTGGTGCCGCTGTGGCAGCTCAGCCGGCTGGAGCCAGCTGTACATGCTGGTGAATGCCGTCCGCCTGTTCCGCGGCCGTCTTCATGGACTCCACCATGGTGTTGAACTGGGGTCCGAACAGCCCGTCCGGGCTGATTGGAGCGTCCAGTAGCATTTTTCTGGCCGTCTCCGTAACAGGCTCCGCAGCACTGTGGTGACGGAGAGGGGTAAAGCATGTTCGGCCGCCAAGCTGGCACCCTGCTCCGACTCTGTCTCCCCCGTCCGGGGGAGAGGAGGGAGGGGAGAACCGAACGGTAAACCGTGGAGGGAGGCGGGGCAGGAGTTGCTTCGGACTCCTGCCCGGCACTCTGCCCCAGGGACACGAGGCCCCGTCCGCGGGCTCGTAAGCCTGGACGGGCCAATCGTCCTCCTCGGCCACAGCAGCAAGAGTGTCCGCTCTCCGCTTCCTGTCGCCCGAGGGGAGACGAGCGCAGTGTGTGCGCATGCTACCTGCTGGTTTAGAGCCGCGTACGCGTGCTCTGACCCCAGGCAGGATTCGCATACTGCTTTTATCTCTGCAGGTCATAACTCATTATGAACCCAGAGCCACAGGAGGGACAATCACGGACGCAGTTGCTGCTCATGATGATTCTCAATTGCTGTGCTTCAGTAACTGTGCTGGTTTGCTGAAAAAAAGAGGGAGCAGATTGCCGGGCCTCCTTCCTATTCATACCGGAAGGAGGCCCGAGGGTGGGGCCCACCTTGCGGGTGGGCGTGGACTACAAGTGTTTTAGTGCAGGGGGGATTACCCAGTAGCGATAGACTTAGAGGGCGAAGCCATATACGAAATAGAACAGCAAAACAAAACCCATTACCAGACAGACAACACTAAAACCGTGACATAACACCAAGATCGTGACAGGGTTTGCAGTTGATGATAAAAGTTTCCAGAGTGGGAGAACAGTGCTGCAGAATCAATGTCACATTGTTGCACCAGCCACTGTTAGTGTAAAAACATATTCCTCCACCTTTTGATTTGCCGGAGAGCTCCGTGTCTCGATCTGCTCTGAACAGCTGGAAGCCTGGAAGCTGCAGCGCTGATTCTGGGATCGATCCACACAACCAGCTCTCAGTGAAGCACAAAACACAAGATGAAGAAAAGTCTCTGTTTCTACTAACCAGTAGCTGAATCTCGTCAAGTTTGTTTTTGATGGAACGCACATTAGAGAGAAATATTCCGGGTAGCGGCGTGCAAAGTCTGCAGCTCCGGAGGGGAACGAGCGTCCCGGCTCATTTCCCTCTCCTGTGGCGTTTCGCTGCACGGATGCAGGTGAGGGCACCTTTTACAAGAATGTCCGATAATTCCACGGGAAAAATGAGAAAGTAATCCGCTGAAGTTGTCTCTATAATGTTTAGGAGCTCGTCCCTGGTGAAAGAGTTTGGTGTACTGTATAAACACTGAATTAACGCACAAAATAAAGCGTACCAATACACCGAAGCGGCCATCTGCAGTGCCATCTTAGTTGAGATGACTAGGATGGAGAAAGTCAGAGATCTTCTGGTGGACAGGTGGAGTTTGATAATGAAGATTAATTGTGTAGGAGTCAGCCCCATAGTACTCACCTTGCTAACTGGATTGCTTGCAACACCCATCCCTCACCTCACTCTCCAAATAATGACTTCCTGATTCTCTATATTTTGGTGTTTGCAGAATCATTCAATATGAATGTAGAACATACAAATAAATTCATTTCAAAGTGTGTTTTAATAAGTGGTGTACTAACAATACACATTTTTTTTTGTCTAGTCTGCGAAAGTATTCAACTATGCCAAATGGGAGAAAACCTGCAAAAGTGTTTTCGTTGTGTTTGCTATCGTGTTTATGGTAACACGCCTGATCATCTTCCCATTCTGGTAAGTTCATAAATGAGGTGTACGTGTGTTTGTCTGTGAGAGAGATGTTTATACTGTATGTGTATGTGGACCCCCTCTGAACACCATCCAACCACTCTAATCTCATCATAGCTTCATACATGTTTTGCCTTAAGGAAAAGGAAACATTTACATATACATTACCCATTCATAATGTTTGCCTTCATTATATCATGATTATTGTCCGGATCCGGACCCAGACGCCGACCTATACGGACCCGGACCTATAATCAATACATTAATAAGGGATTTCAATTTTGACTGGGCGATTCTATTTTAACCGTCACCGACAGGGGGCGAAAGAGAGGAATGAGCGATACAGGGAGAGAAACACAGAAGAAGAGATGAGAGCGCGGCAGAGAGAAGCGGAGAGGAAAGTGAGTGAAGAGAATAATTAGCGAAACAGGGAGAGAAGCGGAGAGAAGAGTGAACAGGCGTGTTAGCGGCAGACAGGGAGAGACAAATAATTACACATGGCGCTCTCCAAGAAGAGGAAAGTGGACAGTGAGAACAGAACTTTTAACCCTGAGTGGACGGACTCATTCATGTTCATCCTGCCCACTGGGAGCTCAGAACCAGTGTGTCTCATTTGTTCAGAGACCGTGGCGCTCATTAAAAGTGCCAAAATGCCACTATGAGAAAAAACACAAAGTGTTTGACCAAACATTCCCTCTCAAGTCAGAACTGAGGTCACAAAAACTAAATATCGTTCCAGCGCAGGCTAACCGAGGCTAACCGAGGCTAACCAATGAGCACCTGCATATGTGTATGAGAATGGTCCTGACACCATTTCATCCCAGATCTAAACTCCTGGCAGGACAAGCTCAATTATTGCACT